GGTTGGGTGGGTCAAAAGGGCCAAGGTCAATATTGCCACCCCTAACGTTGCCTGACCCATAGAGCTGGCTCCTGCGCTGCCCGCTTCGGAGATAACCGGATAAGCCTTATCGATTTACGCGGAAACCACCTCCAAGCATGGCTGGCCAATAAGCCACGTCCTCCTAGAGACCTTGGACGCATTATGTGAAGCTCACGACTACCTGCACCTATATAAAGGCATCCCCTTCAACCAAAGAAGGTACGCACAATTTTGTTCTATGATTCTCTTGTTCTCTTGCTTTCTAGCATTCTCAAAACTCTTCACTGACTTAGCAACAGAGTGTTCACCCCGGGTACTCTGATTGTTTTCTTGCAGCTCGGCCAGCTGGACGTCCGAGCTGTCCTCCAGCAGGGAGCACCAAATCGTGCACCATCAGTTACCAATCAAAAAAGGTCAATTAGTGGATGGAAGTGATGGGAGTTTGAGGGAAAATACTGCAACAAATGATTATTAATAGCACTAAATAATGTAGACAAGGAAAAGTTAATTTTATTTTTTCTTCTTGATTGTAGTGCAAGTTCCCTTGTAGGATTACTTAGAATTATCTTTAAATGGTTAGTTAACTTAACTCATGTGTGGATTGTAGTGCAAGTCCTCTTCTTCTTCTTGATGACTCATCTCTATTCAAGATGGGTTGGTGGTTAGGAATCCTACCTTCCATAGGTATACCCGTGTCCCTAGGGAAATCAATGAGTGTTTATCCCTCTTCCAGAAATTGAAGGATGTTTTAGTCAGTGTGATCAAATAAATGAAGTTATTTCATATTTGGAAAGAATACAGAGAAAGGAAAATTCTATGTGATGTCCTGTATTTCTTGTGCTTTGAGGGTCTCTGTCAAGACTTGCTGCACTTGGGGTATTTGTTTGGACCTCCCCTCTTCTTTTTCTCATGTCCTGGTCTTGCCCACCTTGGTTAGCCAAGTTATACTCTGTTGTCCCTCTATCATCAAAGAGTAGCAGGGGATCCATTCTTCAGTTTATGGTCCTTTTGTAGGTTTTTGTAGTTTATGGTCATCTATTATCAAAGTTTTTATAGGCATTTTTCTATTGATGCTAGTAGTTTACTGTCGGATTGGCTCTGATACTGAAAGAATTCAAAGGATCCTACATTTAATTGGCAAGCTGTTTAGGGTGGTACTCTGTTCAAGTCTGTTCTGAGAGCTTTGAGGCCTTCTTTGTACAGATCTAAGGGTCCATTTGGTTCACTTCTGGAATCGGAATCGAAATCCCTCGGAATCAGTATTGGAATGGTTTGTTCTCATAGCCTGTTTGGTTCAGATGGGGAATCAAAACCAGAATTGGAATCAGCTGGAATGAGATCTCATTCCCAAGGGGGAGGGAATGGGATTCTGATTCCACCCAACCAAATGGTTGGGCCATTCTGATTCCGATTCTAGACCCCTATTCCCACGAACCGGATGGGCGCTAATTCTTATCTGTCAAACTTATATTGTCTGTGTTTGCCAGAGGTAGTATTGCAAAATGAATTTGTTCTTGAGATTTTACTTTTACGTTGGTGAAAGATTTTTTTTAATGTGAACTCACAAAAAGACAAAGGAAAAGAAAAAGGTTATGCTTATTCTGCATTCGTATCTCTGCATTTAAGTTGTGAGTAATTGAATTCCCTGTTAGGAACCTTTGTTTACCTGCATGCTCAATGTTTTTAGTAAAGTGTTGGACACATTGCCATCTTCATTGTGGATTTCAACTATTTGAATGTTAGTAATTTTGTTATTACTGGAACATAAAGGAGTTGAGATTGTCATTGATAAAAAAAGGAGTTGAGATTGTTCTTGTTGACAAATTGAAATTTCAGGTGGAAGCAATACAGGCTAGTGGAGGCCAGATGACTGCTGATGGTAAGCACCCTCGAACAGGTGGTGGCATTCTATGGAGCATTCTGAAAGCACGTGAACCAGAAGCTTACAAGGAGATAATGACCAGGGGAAAGGAGTTTGAGGTATGTCATTAATGGAAATAGTAATGTCACAAATTTATTTTGAGGCTGGGATGAAGCGGTTATAATAACACATGATGGATCTATAGTTCCATCATCAGTTTAACTGGCTCTTGCCTGGGAAATTATAGCTGGTCAGACTAGATGGTAGAGTGACTTGACACATTAACAATTTCTTCTTGTGAAGTGTCTGTGATACAAGTCTTTCCCTTTATTAGATTACTTTGTATATACTAGATCACTCAGGGTCTCCTATCTACGAATGGAATGGTTCCCATATTCATACCCACAAGACATTACCTCCTTGTATTGGGAGCATCTCACCATGAACGACAAGGGAGATAGCGCACCTGTAGTGTCTGTGGGTATGCATGTGGGTAGGAGATCCAAGCTCATGCTAGATGCAAGACAAGCTAACTATGATCAATGTGACTGTAAATAACTAAAATGGTTAAGAATAGTTGCAAACATTACATTATTTTTTTTGGAAAACGTAAGGTAATTTTTTAGGAAAATTAAAGATACAAACAGAAACCTGCCGGAGACAGGTTAGGACTGGGGTCACCCCCCATTACATTCAATATGCACTAGTCACTTAATTACACTGTAAGCGCATTTGTTTGAGACCCACCATCCACACACAAGTCTTGAAGAATTTAGAGACTAAATTAGGTTTTGTTTTTGAACAAAAAAAAAGAAGATTTGGTTTGTAATGAGAAATCCATTTTATCGAGTTCACATCTGCGCCCCACAGAACATCCCAACCGTGTATTGGGAACATTTCCCAATGACAAGTACGAAAGATGTACCCAATGCATGCTAAGATGTGCATGTGGGGCGTTTGTGGGGCACCCTCTTTGGGGTGCAGATGTGAACTCCATTTTATCCAATAGAATGGGACCCAAACCAATGTATTGTCTTGAAAGTATTTGTGATTTTTTTTTTTTATATAAGTTGGAAAACTAAAATTAGACTTGATTTGTTATTAAGGATATGAACTAATTTAGAAACATTACCATTTTAGAGTTAGTGTGGGACCCATGCCACTAATATACTTTTAGTTTGAATTAAAATTTATTTACCCATTTTCTCTGTGGGAGGCTAGCTATGTGCTTGAAGGAAATCTCTCGTCAGCTATGGGTTATAACATTGTAATTTCCGGGACAAACAAAGAACTTGTAATTTCTGAATTATGTTTTGAACCTCCATTGCAGAAGCAATTCATGAAACAAGGTACCAGACAAGTTCCAGAGCAAAAGGAGGGCCCTTCTGAAAGCACTGTATGCGAATCTTCTAATGAGAGTACAAATCAAACACGAAATGGAGTTGAACAGAAAGATGCCCAAGAGAGGCGCACATCTGTCCTGAACAGAATACGAATACCAGTCCCTTATGATGACCTGTATGAATCGGGCCCAACAGATGAACTTACTTGATTTTCTGAAAAGAGTTGAGTGTAAATAGGCCGAATAATGCTGTTATTGAGTTCTGTTAATATGATATTTTTCCTCCCTACTTTTTTGAATTCAATATATTACTTCCTCAATTATTTCCTAATTGGAGATATATTTGATAATAAAAGTTATGATTTAAAAAGAGGCTTACGTTGGTTTTCGGATTTCTCTAAATTTGATTTCATGCATCGAGTATTTGAAGACTTAGGTTTTGTTCGTTTGCTCTGAAATCTGACATCTGAAAGTGCAATAATTACATTAAGAGGTATATTGGTATTTGTGAACTTTTCTTTCCTCTAAGTTCTAAATGGTGAGAATGTTGTTTTGAATTCTGAATTCTGAAAATTATCAAATATCCATTTTGACCCCATATATGAAAGTTTTTTGTTTGTCTTTTTGAGGGAATCATTGGAAAACAAAGAGTTGTATGATTGCACTTTAAGAGATAAGAGCTAAGAGGAATCGAACAACCAATTTTCTCTTAAAGTTAAAAAGATTCCTCTTAAGAGATAAGAGTTAAGAGGAAAATAACAAACCTTTACTCTCATCATCAGATTCATTATCATTAATTAAGGCCAGAAGACTCAATCTGGAAATTTTAGTACATTTCTAACATTTATAGGGATGTGCTTTTGCATGGCTACTGATTTGAGAATAGGGAAATGGGATGACTATTCCACTAGGGATCTATGCTAAGGAGCAGGCTGACTCCTGCTCTCTGGCCAAAATTCAGCCTAAATAAACGATTAACGATTGCAACCAAGGGGCTGAGCATTAACCTAATTGTCACTTAGGTGGCCGCGGGAGTGGCAATGGGTACCCTATTGCTTGGGTTACAATTGGTACTTCAAATTGGTATCCAAATCCAATGAAGATGCGGTGAGTCAAGATTAGGGGTGTTTATGGTCCCGTTTGGTGCAGTTTTTAATGTGGTTTGGACCATTGGTTTAGTCCAGTTAGAGAGCCTAAACAAGCATTGCACAAATGTTGATTTGTATGTTATGTAATTATATATTTACAGTTAATAGTTTGGTTTAATCAAATCGAACCGTAAATCATAATTTTAGCAAAATTTCAAACCGAACCAAACCATTTTAACCTCCAAACCAAATCAGTTTGACAGTCTGTAATGAACACCCTAGTTGAGATTTTGGAGGCTGAAACTTGCTTTAGACTTAGTTTGGAAAGCCTAGACTCCGGACCGGCAGTCTGGCCCCCAAATTCAATCTGCTGCATTTTGAGGATTGTGAATTGGTCTTGATTGAAGTGATCCCACTATAGAATTGGAATCAGGATTTGCTCTCACACCGATCTCACTTCACACCCCACCGTGTATTGGGAACATCTCGCTATAAATAACAACATACAATTATGGGGAGTTCATATCTACACCCCACAAGGGGGGTGCCCCACAATGTCCCATAGCACATCCCGACCTTGTATTGAGAATATCTCCCGATGATAAGTATGGGAGATAATAAGATATTATTGAGAGATGTTCTCAATATAAGGTCAGGATGTACTGTGGATATGTTAACTCAATTATGGAAGATGTTACCATGCCGCTGGGATGTGACGTGAGATTGATGTGAGGAGCAATCCAGACTCATAACATTGGGCCAAGATTAGCTTCATCATGACTTGACTCATTGGGAATTTGGATCACCTGTCAACAATATATGTTTCGTTTCAGCACCCTCCCAACATGATGGACATCTCATACATGTCACGTCCCACTTTTATGGTGGATCCCAACCTTACAGTAACATTTGTGTTAAATCATGTTGAGAGGGTGTTGGAACCTAGGTGATCCCAATTCACTCGCTGGATCGTTGCATTTGTTTTGGACTAATTAAAGCAAAAGGAGCCCAAAGGATCACATAGAAATGGAGGACAGCAAGATTATGTTCCACACCAGTAATAAATTCGTGCATCCTGTAAAAGGGTGGGGTCTCGTTACAGCTGTACATTGAAAAATGCATTAGAAAATCTTCCCGTGCATAATAACGTGTAAGAATGAAAAGTTCCTTGTACGTGTCTGTGATCTCATGTGGGTAGGTGTGGATAGAATTACGTGGATAGAAGATTCGGACTCTCTACGTTATAGTATTCATGCATTTGCTCCTTACGCTGCTCACTTTACTCCGACCTCACAGTCTTATCCCACCGTGCATTAAGAACATTTCTCCAATAACAAAGTACGGGAGATGTTTCCGCGTTGTAAGGTTGGTGCAAGTGAGACCAGATCTGCTCCTTACACCTGGCGCTTTACAAGCGCCTTACACACATATTCACGGAAGATGTATCCAATGCACGGTGGATGTGCTTGTGAGACGCCCATTTGTGAGGAGCAGATCCCGTCACGGTGTAACGAGTAGGGAGCGCTCAGTGAGGAGCAGATCCAAACTCGTTCATGCTTCATAGAACGACGATTCGCGGCGCGGGGCTGCGAGAGCGGAAACATATACAGGAAGTGTGTTTGTTGTGTAGGGAGTAGGGACCAGAGAGGGAAGATGATAAAGCTGACAAGACGGTGGATTAAGTCTCGCAGAGATGGAGGCGATGATAAGTTATCTCTCCCTACCCGCGACGATCCGTCACTCGACGATTCTCGTCCTATCGACACCAAAGGTCTCTCTCTCTCTCTCTCCCTTCCTCGGGAAACAAATTAGGGATTTCGTTTGCTGTTTCTTACTGCATTTGATTTTCTTTTAAAGTTGGAGATTTTGAGTTCAATTTAATTTCCTGTCTTTCTTCGTTGATTTCGTTTCTGCTTTTCCTTTTTCCCTGTTGGACAAAACGGATTGATTTTTCAGTCTTATGACTTTTTTTTCTTTTCTTTTTTTTTTTTTGCCTTATGACTTTCGTGTTTATTAGAATAATTCTTCTTCTTTCCGTGTTGGAAAAATTGAAAATTTTGTTTTTTTTTTTTCATTTCAGAACAAGAGAATATGGTTCTATACTTCGAAAGGAAACAAGCTGAACAGAGTTTTCTCTGGAGGGTAAAAATCTTCTCGTGTGCACTCTCCCAGGCGTGAGTTATATTAATGGTTTATTGGATAATAAAAAGGGCTCCTTGCTGCTGGTCTTTGTAGAGTGTGTTTGCGGCCTTCCTCTGTTGCTTTGCAACATTTTTGGTGTTCTCCATCTTGTATCAAGCTTTATATCCGTGGGAATTGGTGAGGATTATTCCTTTATGGTGCGTTCAAATTTATAAATCAGCGTTGTATTTGTTTTTCGTGATGTTTAGTGGAAGAATTTTACTTGAGAAACGGTGGTGGGGACCTTCTTTAAACAATGGAACTTTGAACTTGAAGAAGGTTGCTACACAAAACTGAGTGTCCTTTTACACTCGAGTAACCCTAGCAGGTATGCAACTCAAAATGAGCCAGTTTTTTAAAGAGCAAGGGCCAATTTGGGCCTGAGGTGCAAAATTACAAAAAATGCTAAAAAATCAGAAAATTCAATAAAATGCCAAAAAAATATTAAACATAATGTTAGGAAAAAATATAAACTTAAATTTTTAAAATAAGTGTTTTAAAAAACCTAATATCTAAAATTAAAATACATAAACATAACATATAAAGCGTATTCAAATGAAAATTTAAAAATAAAAGTAAACATATAAAGCATTTTCAAGCATGTAAAACCCACAATCTCTTTTTTTTCCACAATTGCATTACTTCAAGTAGCTAATGTGATGTAAAACATATTGCATTCTTGACTCTATGAGTCGCCTTTGTACCATGCCCCTCGAGGCAAGTTCAAACAAGTCCATGTTAGGGTCTTAAATTATTATTTATCACATAAAAAATAATGATTTTATAACTTTAATTGCCTTTTAAGTGCAAAATTTTAAAAAGGTGCACACCTAGGTTAAGGCGCAAGGCGCATCAGGCTCATACCTAGGTGCACCAGGTGTGTGCCTTTTGAAAGGGGGTGCACCTAGGACCTAGGTGAGGCGCATACCCTAAAATGCACCTCACCTGTGCGCATAGGCACACCTTTTTTTTAAATCACTGAAATGAGCAACCTTGATCGGTAACAGATCAGTAGAATTTATAAATGCTGGTAATAATTAGTAGAAAGGGAGCAAAATGGAGAACAAAATATCACTAAGAAGAAACCCCAAGGCTGTCTTACTACACCCTCCCTGTACACCCATTAAAGTTTGAAGCTCCCTACTCGGGTAAAACAGCACCACAATTCAACTTGCTCCTATCTGCTTCACCTCTAGAGAAACTGTCAACTAAGTCATTTGCAATTGCATATCCCCTAATCCAGTGAAACAAGGTATTCCCTCTGGCTTTTATAGATATGGCCTCTCTAATGTGGCAATTGCATATCCCCATCTCTCAACCAGCTCACTACCATCTGAGAATCATCCTCAATCTCTAATCTTGAGTGTCCAAGACCAATGGCAATATAGAGGCCACTTAACAAGATAAGTGCTCAGCTGCAGTGGAATCTCTCCATGCAATTGGGCTTTTGTTATATTTGTTTTGATTAAGTGAAGTCATATTACTCAATCAGGTAACCTGAAGAAGCTAATTCAAATTTGATTAATGATTGGCAATTATTCTTGTCAGTATTTCTAACCCTTTAACCAATCTTGAAATTGGGGTTGCACACCCCAATGCTAAATGATCCATGATCCATCACAAAGTGAACACCAATAGTTTTCTTAATTGGAAATTGATGTGGTATACCCTTGGCCCTACCTCCAATTTTGTCCTCCCTTTTGGTATAAAGTGATAAACACTTAACTAATTGAGAGGTAACATGGTCTCAAAGTTTGATGACTATAAAAGGATATTTTTTTTACTCTTAAAAAATCCTCTTTAGCATTGCTGCACCCATTCACTATCAAATTGATGCATTTGATTATATTCTCTGTATTTGTGAGAGGCTTTAATGCTGATGCTGTGGCTTTTAGCCATTTACCAGGTGTTCATGATGGTAGACCCTTCATGGATTTTGGCTTGGCTTAGAAAACAATTGATTGCCATCTTAGAGTTGTCTTGAAGCCATATGCTTGAAAATCCATGGTCTTTAGGCATCTTGATTGCCTTTCATGCTGCTGTTGCCTCTGTCCCATTGATGGTAGCTGTAGAGAAACTGATGTGCTGTGGGGCCACTCTGTCCGTAGGGTAGAATATACCTAGTCTATCTGTTATGTTACTCTGTTATTCTAGTTCTGTTATTTACTTTTCAGTTTTTTATATTGTTAAGTGTTATGATGTAAACACCAAGGGCAAATATGTCCTTTCATGTAACTAGCATAACATATAAATATTAAATTGAAGTGGCGACGGCAGATTATTTTGAATCTGTCCTTCCTTTCAAACCTGTG